GATCATCCAAACCCATACACTATTGGATGGATTAAGAAAGGAGTGAATATGAAGATTACAAAGCAATGTAATTTGCCACTTTCTTTGGGCAAATATTATCGCTCAAATATTCTGTGTGATGTAGTTGACATGGATGCAAGCCATGTTCTTGGAAAACCTTGGCAATTTGATGTGGATGCTACACATAAAGGAAGGAACAATTCTTACTCTTTCATTTGGAACAAGCGAAGGATTATAATCCTACCTAAGAAATTGGATGGTTCTACTTCTAAAGTAGAAGAGAAGAATATGTTAGCTATTTTTCAAACATCAAGAGACTTTATAGAAGATGTGAAAGAAGCAAATTTATGTGCTGCCTTGATCGTTAAGGGAGAAGAGCAACCTGTTGTTGAAATTCCAGCGGAAGATACAAGGTCTATTATCTGAATTTCAGAGTATACTTGGGGAGCCACAACACTTGCCACCAATGAGAGAAATTCAACACTGAATTGACTTCGTTCCTGGTGCAACTCTTCCTAATCTGCCACACTACCGAATGAGCCCAAAAGAGCATGCTATATTGAAGGAGAAGGTGAAAAAGTTACTAAAAAAGGACATATCCAAGAGAGCATTAGTCCATGTGCTGTACCAACCTTGCTCACACCAAAGAAGGATGGTTCTTGGCGTATGTGTGTAGACAGTAGAGCAATCAACAAGATCACAATAAGATACAGGTTTCCTATTCCCCGTTTGTACGATATGTTGAATCAATTAAGTGGGGCAAATGTATTCACTAAGCTTGATTTAAGAAGTGGATATCATCAAATTTGCATTAGACCTGGTGATGAATGGAAAACAACATTCAAAACCAAGGAAGGGCTATATGAATGGCTTGTTATGCCATTTGGACTTTCAAATGCACCAAGTACTTTTATGCATTTGATGAACCAAGTCCTTCGACCCTTCTTATCTTGATTTGTTATGGTTTATTTTGATGACATCTTAATATATAGCAAGAATGAATATGAGCATTTTGATCACGTTCGGCAAGTATTAGAAGTTCTAAAGGAAAATGAGCTTTATGTCAATTTGAAGAAATGTGTTTTCCTATAGAAGCGACTACTTTTCTTGGGCTTTGTCATAACAAGTTAATGTATTCATGTTGATGATTCCAAAGTTGCTGTAACAAGAGATTGGCCAACTTCAAAGACTATTACAGAAGTGAGGAGTTTTCATGGTCTTGCAACTTTCTATAGAAGATTTGTCAAGAACTTTAGCACTATTATGGCACCAATTACTGAATGTTTAAAGAAAGGGAAATTTCAATGGAATGAATTTGCTGAAGCAAGTTTCCAAGAAATTAAAAAGAAGCTGTCACAAGCTCTAGTCTTGGTCCTTCCTGATTTCAACAAGACTTTTGAGCTGGAATGTGATGCAAGTAGAGTAGGCATTGGAGTTGTTCTATCTCAAGAGAGAAAACCCATTGCTTTCTTTAGTGAGAAACTAAGTGAAGCAAGGCAGAAATGGAGTACCTATCAACAAGAGCTATATGCAGCTTTCAGAGCTTTAAAAACTTGGGAAGTTTATTTGTTACCTAAGGAGTTCATTGTCTACACTGACCATCAATCTCTGAAGCATTTCAGAAATCAAAAGCATGTGGATCGCATGTTAGCAAGATGGGAAGCATACTTAGAAAAATTTAACTATCTCATTGTTCATAAGTCAGGAGCAACAAACAAAGTGGCCAATGCTTTGAGTCGGCGTGCTTGTCTTCTAACATCTTTTGAGGCTGAACTTCCAGGTATGGACCAAATGAAGAAATTATATGAGCATGATGAAGACTTTGGTCAAGTCTGGTTGAAGCATCTACAAGGGAAGCCATTAGATAAAGATTATGTGGTGCAAGATGGTTATCTCTTTAAGAATGATCAACTATGCATTCCAAGAAGTTCTCTACGTGACAAATTAATTAGAGAACTACATTCAAGTGATCTTAGGGGCCACGTTGGGCGTGACAAGACCATAGCCAACTTGCAAGAACGTTATTATTGGCCACAACTCAAAAGAGATGCTGGAAAGTTTGTGCAAAGATGTCCTGTATGCCAAACCTATAAAGGCCAAGTCTAGAACACCGGATTATATATTCCATTAGAAACCCCAAATGCACCATGGGAGGATCTCTCAATGGACTTTATACTTGGCTTGCCAAGAACAAGGTGTGGGAATGATGCAGTATATGTTGTAGTTGACAGATTCTCTAAGATGGCTTATTTCATTCCATGTCGAAAGACAATAGATGCTCATCATGTGGCTAATCTTTTCTTTAGAGAAATAGTTAGGTTGCATGGTGTTCCGAGATCAATTGTTTTAGATCGTGATAACAAATTCCTTGCTTCATTTTGGCTTACATTATGGAAGCAAATCAACACTGAACTGAAATTTTCAAGCACAACACATCCCCAAATAGATGGCCAAACACAAGTAGTGAACAAGTTCTTGGGTAACTTAATTCGATGTATATGTGGAAGCAAGAAAGGACAATGAAATTTAGTCTTATCACCTGCCGAATTTGCTTATAACAATTCAGAGCATAGATCTGCAGGCAGGAGCCTATTCTCCATTGTCTACACAAAAGTTCCAAAGCATGTGGTTGATTTAATAAAACTACCTTCAAGGGAGAATTCAATATCATCAACAAGCTTTGCTAACAACTATTCTAATTTGTTCAAAGAAGTCCATGATGTCCTAGAAGTGTCAAATCAGAAGTACAAACAATTGGCCGACAAAAGAAGAAGACCAACGTCATTTGCAGTTGGTGACCAAGTGATGGTATATCTTACAAAAGAGAGATTGCCAGCAGGAGTTCATGGAAAGCTAAGGCAAAGGAAATATGGCCCGTTCTCGATTTTGAAGAAGATAAATGACAATGCTTATGTTGTTGATCTACCAAGAAAGATGAACATTTCCAACACTTTTAATGTGGCTGATCTATCGCTTTATCATCCACAACAACAACAGATTTTTCTTTATAATAAAAGATCGTAATTCTTTGTGTCCACTGGACTTCGAACTTCAACTTTTGGGTCCTCCATGCCACTTCCGTCGAGGCTCTAGCGCCGTTAAAGTTTCAATCAAGTTCAAATATGAGAGACTTCAATGAAAAAACTGATGAGGGACATCATATAGATGGATCATGAACATTCAAAAAATCATGTATTCAAGCATATGAGATCTCAATGAGATCTACAACTTTCTAGTTTTGACTTTTCATTTGAAGTCGTTAAGATGCTCAAAAAATTAATACTAAGATGGAGGACCAAAAGTTAAAGTAGTGGCGCCAAGACCGCTGAATTTTTCAAGGACACAAAGAGGATTAGGATATAATGACGAGAAATCTGATTTTACTACTAGGATCATGAATTTAAACCAAGCATATGAATTCAAACTTTTTGACCTCTTATTTTTCTACTAGAGAATTGCTTTTAGTCTAGAAGTAATGTAATGATGTCATAGCATATATCATATACATGATACTAGAAGATACTAAGGTGTCCTATGAGTTGTTTCTTAGGTGTCATTGAGTAATATATTAGTTGTCATGTTAGCTGTCATCTAGTAGCTTATTAGTTGTCATATTAAGTGTATATGAGTTGTGTAAGGGCTCATATCCTATAAATAGAGGCAATGTCCTCAAGTTTGGTAACTTTTGTCTTGTATTTCCCACCAAATGAATAGAACTCTAGGTTTCTATCTTAAAATCTTGAACTAGATCTTGTTGTTGAGCTTTGAATTGAGCTCGTATTATCCGTGGATTCGGACTGCTCTTAGGACGTTATCTACTTAGCACGTTGAAGCTGTTCCTTCAACACTTTGTGCTATTTCTATATATCAACACCTTGGAGTTGATCCACCAAAATAATGTGGTGCATTATCCTCCGAACAATTGATGCAGGAAACCACCAGGCAACTGAGCGGTCGTCTCGTGATAGTATATCTATTGCGCTGGCCTAAGCCATTTGTCTCCCTCCTCGACCTTTCTCGAGGAGGCGGCATTGCTTCCCCAGCAGAGTAGATGAGGATGCAGTATCAGCCATGCGACGGTCAGGCGCCAGCGTCTCCATTCTGACCGACGAGGTGAGCGCGATTAGCCAAGGCTTGGGTTCCCGGACTCGATGGAGGCAGACTGGTCATCGATTGCGTCGCACAGCCACGTGCAGCTGCGGCAGATCGATGACCGATCGAGCCGCCAAACGCCGCTCCAGCGCAGGGCTCTTCAACACACGTCCTCTGCAACACCGAGGTTGCGCTCATCGTCTTCTCACCCGCCGACAAGCTCTACGGACTACGAGTACTCCTCCGGCAGGTCGCTCCACCAGCTTCCACCTTCCTTCCGTCGTCCTCCCTCTCTTTTGAGTTATTCGCTCACCCATCCATTCGACAGCGTGCACGGCTGGCGGCTACACGACCATGCTGGCGAGTCTCCCGGCCTGAGAATGAGTGCGCCATGCCGCCATGCGAGCTTGAGGTGCGTTCCTCGAGTTGCATCACCTTGCTTGACACATTACAGCTTAGGAGTCATAGCACCACCTGCTAGCTCTGGATCTTGCCCTGCTCCAAGGTCCGGCAGGTGTGCTCTGCGCCTCATCTCAACAAATGATCAGAGGATGCAACTTAAGACCTAACGCCTAACTCCTAGAAACTGAACTTTCATCCAAGTCGCCCAAATCCACAACATCCCAGATGAGTTTGCTGCTCGAGATCAATGACTACTTCTAGCTCGTGATGGACATGGCAATGGATCCGTAAGTGTCATACGTGTTCCACAAACATAAAAGTAATCACAGAAGAAACGGAATATCTGAATAAAGTGCCAGTGCAGCGAATCACTCAAAGCAAAAATCAGTTTCAGAGCAACAATGCACGCCCCCAGTTACTAACACAAGACCAGGGGACCACAGGTCCCATGGCTACAAAAATTGGCAAATGCAACGTAAGAACAGAAAGCCCTGTCATTTCTCTCTTCACCTGTGGCGTCGGTCCCGGTCCCGATCACGCTCCCTACTTCTCTCATACTCGTGGTCTCGTCTCCTCTCCCTCCCCCTTTCCCTTTCCCTTTCACGGTCTCTGCTCCGGCTCCTGCTCCGGCGCTGGTCCCTTCCATGATCACCTCTATCTCTGTTCCTGGTTTCCTTTTCATCGTAGTCATCCCTACCACGATCCCTGCTCCTCTCCCTGCCTTCCCTTTCACTAGAACCTACAGTAGTGAATTAACACCAGGTCATGTTCAGCACTGTCAAAGTAAATTCATAACAAAAACTTCCCCCCTCTTCTTCCTTCCCCAAATGCAACAGATGTTCAAATGTTCCAATGACAAACACCAAAAAGCAGAAACTAGACGATAAATAGTCCCAAACAGTCTAAATCGTGGAGTTCAAATCCAAAGTGTGTCAGAAGAATACCACGATGCTCAACTTCCCATCCAGCACGTCCAGACCCAGGAAGTGCCTGTGCACTTTCAGTATGCAGAGCTTTAGAGCGAAATTTCTTTTTCAGGTTGCCAAATTCATCATAGATCTCTCCATCATCCTTGAGACAAACCAAATTTAGACATGGAAACAAATGGCCACTACATATACAAAAATATAATGTTATGCAAGCATCCTACCTCCTCAGCCTCTTTCCGACGTTTTTTAACTTCCTCTAGTTCTTCTTCATCAAGCTCTTTGTACCCACCACCACGGCCACCCCTAAAATGAAAAAAATAATCGGCAAGGCAAACCTTGATATTTGAATAAACACCTTTTGTTACAAATAGTTAAATGCATGGTTGCTCACTTAATGGGCATAACATACAAGACACCCACAGTGTGCCTGTATTTTACATTACGTTTCACACAACATGCAATCCATGGTTCACAACTAACCACTCACAGGTCACAACAATTGTCAATGGGCCAAAGTGGCACTGCACCTCCTTTGAGTCAATTTCTGAGCCCAAAAGCCAAAAACTGGTCACATGGAGGGCACAATATCACTGCAATTGAGCTGCAGTTTTTCAAGGAGTATCCTAATGTTGCTGTGCGGCAAAATTCATCCAGGCTGTGAGTGCATCAGGTGTAAAAGCATGATGTTTAGCTATTAACGAACAACCCTTATTAATCCCTTACGACATACAACAAATGAGGGCTGACATTCTTCTTTACATGAATTGTTATTATAATTTACAATATGTTTAATATTCCTGAATTGGTATTATAATTTACAAGATGTTTATGATACCTGCTAGAGTACAATTTATATTATCAGCTTAAATAAATAATACGTTTTGAACCAACCACGTGCAAATAGTGCCCTTGTACTTACCTCACATCACCTTCATTGGTACCAGGCTTGGAGGTGTTACATATATTACATTTGGTCCGCTTAGCCCAGTTGATGTTGCCACACCTGGAACACAAATGAAGTTAGGTTTCATATCATCTATCAGACAGCAAGTTTATACCAATAAAGTATAAAAATGGCTGCAGACAGAGAGGGTGGCAGTCAAATTTGAGATACTAAAAAAAAGCCCACAATAAAAGGGTGTTGAAAGCAAAGCCTTGTCGATTTCATGGGGCGGCAATTATACGATGCATACAAATAAATGTGAAGAAATGGAGATCGAAATCAATAGACGCATCAAATATTCAAATCTACGAAACAAAAAAACTTAAGTCTTAGCCTCTTACATTGGACATGGCCAATCATTTGGGCCAAACAATCCAGGTGGACCACCAACAGCGGAAGCAGCAGCACCAGCACCAGCATGGCCGCTTCCTCTTGCATCAGAGCTACCACGGCCTCTACCCCTACCGCCACCGCCGCCACCAGCTCCACCAGCACCAGCAGGGCGTGCAGCTCCACAGCGATTACAAACACCACGGAAGGCAAAATTTACATTGCCACAACTGAGAGAAGAAATCATCTCAGATAATCAGAAAGATAACAATGTGAAGACCATACTGGTCAACTAGTGAACTGAAGTGATAGAGAAGTCGCTCACCAATCATAACAGACCTTGTATTTGGACACATCCAATCCCCATCTTGCTGCCAAGCCTTGCCTGGACCATCACCACGTCCTCTACCTCTGCCTGCTCCGTTATCCAGTTCATCTTGTTCACCGACACCAGCAATGATGTTCAAATTCGTGGGGTTATCAAATGCATCTTTGCTTTTTGACTCAGCTATGTGAACCTGAATAGTGCTCCCATGGAAATCCTTGTTATTGAACCATTCCACAGCAGCTGAAGCAGCATGCGGATCTTCATAGGTGACTGTTGCATCACCCTTTGGTTCATTGGTAACTTTGTCCCTATATATCCAAATTTTTGGGCGCCCAGTCCTTTTGTCCTTCTGTTGCAATTTTACAGCAGAGACGAGGCTAAGTGTTCTTTAAATGGAATTGTAAATGTATAAACAATCTTAAAGAATTTGGCAGTGGCCGAAAAAATGTTACCTGGTAAGACCCATACCTTTAGCAACCCTATGGTGCCAAAATATTCAGCCAACATATTCTCATCAGTTCCAGGAGGTAGATTGCAGACATACACAGAACCATTTTGGGGCCCTCTTGACATATACCCAGCCATCTGTAACAAACCACTAAGTTATGGAAGAGTAGAAACATCATTTCGATTTATCTTGCTTCTAAAAATACTAAAGAGGTATGAAACAGACAATATCATCACAGGCATAAAAGTACAAAAAAATAATGCTAACAATGGGATACAGAACAAGACAATCAGTAAAGCAGTATATGAATAAAAGAATGAAATGAATAGGGTATTGTAGTTCATAACAAAAGGTAAGGAGTAAACCTAAAATATGTTGAAGTTGAGAGTATAAGCATTGAACAGCCTCCAGTTAATTTGTAAACCAAATTAATTTGTTTGTAACAGTTCAGACTTAAAATAGGGCATTTCAGTTGACTATCACTTCTATAAGATCTGCAATTTATAAGACTTGTGGCATGAAACCTTCAAGTTCAATTATTAGTTAGTAGGAATGTGGATAAGGAAAGAAAAGACAAAGAAACCAAACAAAACAAGTGAACAACTGTAGGTTGTATAGTTATCAATTTATCATTACCATATAAGAAAGGAACACCAGGTGTCAGCTCCCAAGAAATCTGTAAGCTAATAATGCTGTGAGGCAATATTTCTTTTACCATCCAACAATTTGAATAAGAGCTCTCAACTAAAGGTACTAGTAAATTTACACCAACAGCTGACAAACTAAGTCCAGACAGCCGATAAAACTGGCAGGAGAAAACCATGCAACAGATAGAACATATCAAACCCCATAGGTTATCAGTGTTTTGGATCACACAATGGCATAAGTTCAGCAGGCCACACATGTAATCAAGAGCAGCATGACAGGAAGCGAAGGACACGATGAATCTCACGAACAGCTAGAACGTCAAAACAGCCTCGCAGACGCAGGTACCACGACAGAGGGATCAAATCTACCCCAGGTACTAGGGGCGATGACGACCTACCATCCTCCCCGATAGGGGCGGACCCAGCAAGAACATGGCTTCACAGTTTACACATGTATGCCCGATAATTTTTTCAAAAAAAATCGAAGTTATTATGCATAATACACGTATAAAGTTCTAATTCGATCAGATCCGAATACAAATAGACAAATATCTCATGTTAGGGTTTGGGTGCTCGGTTTCGCGCAGCAGGAAGGGAAGAGAGAGGGTGGGCATACCTGGTGGGTGCTAGTCGCCGGCGAAGGGCTCGACGAAGGCCTGGGAACCTCACGTAGGGCGGTGGTGGCGGCGGCGGCGGTAGCGGTCGCCCTCGCCCAGATGGAGCGCACGCGGGGTGAACGGGAAACGGGGTTTGTTGGATGCGGATTCACAGGCCGTGATTCTCTCCCTACCATCCACGCTCCAATCAAGATCCAAGTGGCGAGATCGATTTGCACCCTCAGTGTTTTTCTCTCACAACTAAACAACATCAGTCAATTTATAAGCCACAGAAACGATCAAACAAATATAGTATTGAGGCCTATGACTTTATTTTATTTATTTATTTATTTATCCCACAACACCCGAGCCCTCGTGACATGGCCGTAGGCACACAGTGACACCGGCACCGGTAGCGCCCGAACATCCAGAGTGGTGCACGTCCGTGGCTGCAGTATGTTCTCCACGTTCACGCATGGCCATACGTTGCTCGCTCGTGTCTGCGTCTCACGGCCACGCAGGGCCCGCGTTGCCGAACGTCGTCCGCGCTACGCGCCTATGGAGACTCTTCCTAACGTCGCCCGCGCCACGTGACTGCTCGCGCCCCTTCAGCTTCACACGCATATCCATGTGCAACACTCGATGTACTTTTAAAACATTCGGATACAACACTTGCAACATAAAAAAGACAGATGAAATACTTGAAACATGCGTATGAAACACTTACAAAAACGCTTGAAAACCATTACAAACATACACAACATCTAGATAAAAACACTTGCAACATATATGTGAAAACATAATCAACATACAAATAAACACACTTCCAACATACATCTGAAAAACAGATGAAACATTGGAGATGATCTCTTGTAATAACATACATATATAACCATTGCAACATATGCGATATCCTGATATATTTTTGCAACATCCGTCTGAAACTCTTGCAACATACCTCTAAAACACCTGAAATATTTGAAATGTGAGCTTACAACATGCATCATATCCCGATGAGGCCTCCTCCACTGTCTGCATCAGGGCGTCGCAGCCGTAGCAGCAGACAAGGCTGGAGGGCTTCCACACAGAACTGACGCTTCTCCTTGCTACCGGGCAAAGACATCTGTCGGTCGTCGGGCGGGCGAGTGGTGGTGGAGCAGAGAGGCGGCGCAGGCGGCAAGAAGCAAGCAAGCAGAGCAACGAAGCGAAGCGGCGGAGAGAACAGGCGTGTGGGGAAGCGAAGGCAGCGAACAACGGAAGAGGGTTGGGGCGGAGGAGAAGCAGGAGCAGCGTGAAGCGGACGGCAAGAGCAGCGCAAGGCGAAAGGGGACGGACGCAAGGTTTATTGGGCCGGCTGATCCGTAGGCCTAGGCGTGCGACGTCCGGACGGGACGGACGCCCACGTCCTATCATTTCTACAGTGGCACAACGTCTATCGGGTTCGACAGCGCCGGCGCATCCCAGCCCAAGCCCTACCTGTCCGCCTCCCGCGCTATCTTCCTCATGGCGTCTACCGCCTACGTCTCCAGCGGCCATGCTCTAAACGATGATGTCCCAATCGGCGCGACCGCGTTGGCCGAGCACCGTGGAGGCGTCGTGGACCGGAGGTACCTAGTGCTGTACGCCAACAGCAGGGACATTTGCTTATATACTGCATGCTGCTACCACCCTTCGGTGTATAATTGATGACCTAACATGTAAATACATAAAGTCCATCATTAATACTTTAGCACAAATACGCACAAAAACTATGTACACACTACAGGACGATACTACATGACAAACTCTAGTGATATATAACTACGTATACGAAAAACGGGGAGGGCATGTGGGGACGGGGATAGAGAATCATCTCATCTCCACGAGTCCTGTAAGGATGCCTTTTCCCAGGTCAAATCCCCTTGGGAAACTAGGATTGGGGCCTTGACTCGTGGCATACTCGGCGAAAACAACAAAGAGATGGTCGTGAATGATGAGGGTGGTCGTCCTTGTCTCCCTTACCTCAACCTCGTTTCCATGACACTCAAGGTGGTGAAGGGGATGGAAAGTGGAAGGTTATATACCTTCGTTCTTGGCAAAGCAACAGCAAAGAAGAGCAGATTTTGGTGTGCGTGCTGATATGTGAGATAAAATCTCTACTATAATAGATCAATCAAAATTATACTTGGTCTCTTAGTAAAACGTCCCCTGACTGAGAGCCTACCACTATTGTGCACCTAGAAATTCATCTCCATTGAAACAGAGGACAATTAAAACACCTAAACCAAATCAGATGGACACGATTCGATGTGGTCAGCACCCCGCGCGCACTCTGCCTCACACGCGTGCCTTCAAACGCGCCCCACGCACGAGCAGGGATCGAAGGCTGCAAGCACGGAATAAAACAAAAAGGAAACATCGCGCGAGCACCCGTTGATCCTGCCGCCGCCGCAGTGGACCCGACCGCCTCCTCCCTCCGCGCACGCCTCGTCGACGCATCCCGCCTGCGCCACATAGCCATTGCGCTGGCCCGTCTCCCGGCGCCGCCGGCCCACCTCCCAACATAGCGCGAGCGTGTGGCGACGTGAGGAGGCCGCTGCTACTGGGCCGGCCAAGCAGCCGTCGTCGGCCCGTAGCCATCTTGCTCGCCCTTCGCTTGCCTCCATCTCCCGCCGCCGCCCCCAACGACGAGTGGTCTCCTTCGACACACTGGTAACAACCATGCCATCCTTTCCTGTTCCCCAACTCCAATTCGATTTGTTAGGGTTCGAGTTTAAGGCGACTTGGATTTGTGTGCTTGCGTGTGTGCAGAGGCTAGGGCGCCAGGCCAGGCGGCCTCCCCTGATCGCGAGCACCTAGGCCGGCCAGGCTCCACGCGTCCAGCAGCCGTCGCCGAGGTCCTCTCTTCGTCCGCGCCTCCAACGCCTGCTTTAGCCCCGCCGACCCTCTCGCCGAGCACGCCACTAGGCTGACACTGCAGCACTACCAGACGCGAAAGAGAGTCACCCCGCTGCCCAGCCCTGCTCGCCATGGGGGCGTGCACGGCTCATCCGCACGCCTCCAGGCCGCACGCCGCCGCCAAATGTAAACTTTCATTGGTAAGCTCACCACATGGCCCATGCCCACCTTCCCTTTTGGTTTTTGCGCCTCTTCCCCATCTCTCTTCTGCCCGCCAGATGTAGCAGACCAGCGCTCATTGTGATTACAGTCCAGATGCTCTCTATTTTGGTGAAGTGCATGCACCAAGGCTATATAGCCTGCAAGGTGTTTGATAGAATGCTTACAAAGCGGACTTAGGGGCAATAATGTGTTAATTAGAGGATAGTGATTGTCTGGTGTAGCCCCTTTACTCTAACATCATCAAGAGCAGACCTCTCGATCATATGCCAGGTCAGATCCCCCCCTTTATTTAATGGTTGATTTGGTCTGTAATGGCTGCACAAGATAGCATATGACTCCTCCATGACCTCAAAATTTGCCAATAAATTTGTTCGTACATATATGTTTTGAAAAATACTATTAATTTGCCTCCAAATCTGGTCTCAATATTATATTTGTGCACCATGCAGATTTTTTTTTGGAATGCAGCTTCACACCATGATTACTGAAGGAGCAGGATTGCGGGGTCAAGGTTGATCAGGCCAGATGTTTGTTGTCCATGTCATTGTAGATTGCTTTCCTTTTACCAATGTGAATGTCAAATTATTAGTAGATACAATAAAAGATGGTAGTCTGATAGAAAATTACTTATTGCGTACTGCGTATTAACAAAAAAGTCTAGAATGCTGGTCCAGTAGATGTGTAAAACATATATTACTCACACACTTCACTCATGAGGGTGCATCATTCCACATGATTACAGTAAGGCAGTATCACCATTACAAGGTATGAGGGAGTACCAGCATAATCTTAAAGGCAAGTATCAAAAATATTTTCTTGTCAGGAATATGTGAAGCTTATGCATGAGATGGGTTTAGATGCTTACATATTCTCCATTGCTTGGCCAAGGCTGGTTCCAGCTAGGTAAAATTACAGTAGCAAGTTTTCTCTTTAAAAAAACAATTCTGCATCTGAATATATGTATTCCTAAAAATTGTGATTTCCTTGTGTAGATGGAAGAGGAAAGATCAACCCAAAAGGTTTGGAATACTACAACAATCTCATAGATGCACTGATACTGCATGGTAAGGCGATGCAACTGTTACTTTGTCGTAAGATTGAAGTACTGACCCGTGACTCCAAGCATTATGGACTTGTTGTCATAGCTTCTTAATTTTTTCCTGAAAAAAAATCGACTTGTTGCCCTTTTATTCCTGAACAAACTGTCTCCATTCTTCTTGTCATGCCCTCTGTAGGGATTCAGCCTCATGCCACCACCTATCATTTCGATCTTCCTCAGGTCATTCAGAATGAATACGGTGGATTTCTCAGCCCCAGATTCATGTAAGTGTTGAGCGAGAAGCCTCCTTCAGCACCACAAAAAAGTGCACATATTTTGACCTAAAAGTTGCTTCTACCATGTTTTGCAGAGAAGAAATCCTCGCTTTTGTAGAAGTCTGCTTCAGGAACTTCGGTGACAGAGTAAAGCAATTCTGACGTCAATTGCAATTTCCTCTTCAGGAATGAAGGTGCGGGTGCGGAACATCTCAGATCTGGCGACTGAGCGGGAGGTGCGCGAGTTCTTCTCCTTTTCCGGCCAAATCAAGCACGTCAAATCAGATTGTGAGCGCCTCTTGATTTCTTTCTCTATTTGTTCTGACTCTTGTTTTTTTATGTTTTAGTTGTGCTTTTTCCCCCTTTTCGATTTGTATTTTGAACTGCATTGTGATTTTGGCCTCTGGTTGGTGGTTGTAAGCGATACAGTCGCTTCGGGGAGGACTGCCTACGTCACATTCAAAGATCCCAAGGCTCTCGAGATTGCGCTTCACCTGTCAGTATGGATACAAATTATGATGGGCGATATCCAGCTGCTTCGCTGGGCTCAAACTCAGTTCCTTCATCAACAAGGAGGATCAGATTATCTATAACTATATGCAGATCATCTCCACCTGATGTGTCACCCAGATCATCAGGAACAAGAAATAGGTGTAGTCATTACCGTTTCTTCTAGAAATAAATAATTATGTACTTTTCCCCTAATTACTAAGCTTATACCAGATAAAACATTCTGTAACTGTTGGTTTCTGGATACTTGGTTAGTCCATGATGGAAGTGGAAGTAGTTGGTTTCTGGATACTTGGTTGCAACATTTATGTTGGTTGCAAGAAGAGGGTAATATTAGCTCCTGTTTGAGAATACTGAAAATGGACTGTTACTTAAAATTTGATGATGATGTTTCCAACCAACATTGACTTTTCAGGATCAGTGACACATTTTATTAATGGAAGCGTAAATTTCCTTTATAGTTTATATCACCAAAAACAATGATAAGTATTGTTTCCTGTAGCCCATGGTGTTCGCAAGCACATGGTGTTTGCAAGCACATCTAAACTGAATAACCATCAGTTTGTTGGTTTCCTTTGCAGGAGTTAAGGCTCGTAAACTGATTTTTTTGTGCAAAACTGGTGCATAAAAATAATCCCATTTGGCAGGAAAAAGTTGAAGCCTAAATTAATTGAGTAAGTTTTCTCTTGTACAGATTCTGTTTCAAAATAATGTCCAACAAATCTCTACTATGTTACAAACTTTAAGACTGAAGAAATATTTATATTTTCATATATGGTTTTCTATGTTACAAGCCTGATCCTGTGTTCCAAGCTTTAAGACTGAAGGAATATTTATATTTTCATATATGGTTTTCTATGTTACAAGGGTAATGCAGATATAATATTGATCTCTCTTTTGAGTGCTTCCTTGTTGATTCAATTATGGTGAAGATAATATTTACTGATTTTTTATTTAAAATCAGAAAAGGGAGACCTTGATTCTCATTTGACATATCCTGTCCAATTTTATCAAATGTTTCTTTCATGTCAAAGCGGCAGAAATCTTTTAACAAATATAATGAATTCTATATAAGATAAAGCTGTATGTGAGTTACTGAATCAATATATATTCAGGTGGGGATTCAATCCCCGGTGACAGTTCAAAAAAAAAGTTACTGAATCAATCTTATATATGTCGGTTGACAAGGATCTTTGCACAACATAAAACATCACTTTTTTATGCCTCATGTTGCTGGTGTAAGCATTTCAATATGAAGATCTACATGATGCCAGTAGCTCTATCTAGAGGCTGATAACAACCATGATCCAGATGATCTTCTCATTGTAGGTGTGCTATTGGCACGACAGTCCTTGGCATTATACAACCTCAGTAAATTTTACAGTAGCATGGACTAGATATGAAAGAAAATGCTACTGGCAAAATATATATGTGCTATGTTGCTGAACTCAGTTTTTGGTTGGTTGTTTACAGGAAAATGTTTTGGGGCAAATGAAATATTCATGCATTACAACAAGAGAGAAAGATCAAGAGCTGACTGCCTGACTCTTGTGAGATGAAACGAACTAGGGAATAGCTCAAAATTGCAAGAAATGCTTATTATTCAAAGGAAAACATCAACTCATCATGTACCATATGCAAATTATTATGTTTGTCATTGTCAAGCAAAAAAGATTATTGGTGACCACTGATTCGTTTCGAAAACATGTTACTATTTATTTTCATGCTTCTTTTATTGCGTTTATTATTTTCTGCTCTCGTGTGACGTTATGTGATGGAATTTTATATATGTCCGTAGCAATGCATGGGCAATCAACTAGCAAATCATAAATCATATGATTGAGGCGAGATAAGACTTTATTATGCCTTGTTATGCATAAGTGTTTTCTGGATTATATACATGGTCATATATAATTGCGTGAAACTTAAACTATGAAAAAATATCGTCGTTTGGTTGTTTTATGTGCATCCCTAAAATAAAGCCGTTGCGTTAGCATGGGCAGTTTTATGTACATCCCTAGAATAAAATTGTAGCGTTAACACGGGCACTGTACTAGTAAATGAAGAAGATAAGGGTAAAGTGTGAGACTAATCAACAGAGGGAGGGTGAGAAAGTAGGAGGGCACGTAATACCATCGACGGACAAAGACCCATTGCGCAATGACAAAGAGGAAGACGGAGCGCAAATGGATGCTTTTCACATGGTGTGGGTCGAGTGGGACTTTGCCCTAGTTCGGCTAATTGTAGGTGGGTTAGGCTTAATGCTAATGTGGGGTTAGGAGGATTTAGTTAGTTTTTGTTCAAACAGATTTTAAGTTTAAACTATGTTGAATTTACTTAAACAAAAATTCCATTAAAAATCAACTCCAAATTACTCATGCATGACCTATTTACATCAAGTGAACCAGTTTAATTTAGAATCTGGGGTGAGATATTAACTAAGTCAAGGACGACATTTTTTTGAAAGTTTTTTTTTTCAAACATTAACATAGCATGATTGCTGCATGTTACAGCGTACTCCTGGCACGCTGGTTCTAAGCTGACAAGTAGCTTTACAGCACACAATCCATTGGACAACAAGTTGAAGCACTACACTGCAGTGCTGTAGCAGTTCATCTTCTCAGCTAAAGGAAAAGGTTGCTGGCCAGATCACATTACCAAATAATAATATTACATCAATATTTTGGCCCTACTAACACACATGCAGGTTAACATCGCATTAGCTCTGCAGTCTGCACCCCAAACACACCAGCGGAACGGTTGCTAATAATACAGTGAAGAAAGAAGAAGCTGAATATGTCGCGTCCTCATCAGGCTGTGCACCTAAAAAGTGGCTCCTGATTCTCAGCCTTGGTTACATCAAAGTTCGTGGATATATCTACAATCCCAGTCACAAAAGAGCCTTCGACAGCGCATGCACTTAGTATGTATGTAAACATCTACTGGTTAGACTTTCGTATAGCGTTGGATCAATTAAGCCAAGGGTGTTTCAAGCACTGCGCAGCAGATGGCCTGTTCTCCGGAGTGAAATCTAGCATCGGCCGAAGAAAGTCAGTGAACCCTATGGCGTCGGGTTCGGTGAAATTATACCTTTCTACAAGTACACGGTCCAGGGGCCAGAACTTCAGTCTCCTGATCCTCTTTAAATCTCCATGCCGATCAAAGTAATCCTTGGAACGAGTTCCTGAGGTAGCAATCTGAAAGACAGCAAAACAAAATCAGAGGGGAATTCAGATAGCTGGCTAAAGGGAGAACGAGAGAGACTGTTGTAACCTTCCGAGGCATCTTCCCAAGAGTTTCCATCATCAGAGCCAAGTGGTCCTGTAAAATAGGTAACAAACAGACCGTCCAGTTGATTAAATGACAATGACAAACAGATAACAGTAGGCTTGATAAACAGGAGTCAACATCCAGAGTTGATTGATTTAGGAGCACAATTGACATAGATTCTTACATAGGCATGACATCAAATTTGCATGAATAGAGCAATCAAGCAGGTAACAGAACAGAAAAGTTGTACATGCAACTAATTATTGTCAGTCCACTGGTACTTCAATTTTTGCAAGGCATTACATCCGGCAACCAGAATTATATAGCTTGATCTTGTTTTTCTAGAAAGAAAAGGTCAGTACAAAGAGAACAGCTGGCAAGTTCAGCCCCTTGTATGTAACCTTCAGTAGAATTGACAAAATGCAGTTAGCAGTTTCTGCTTACAGTTGCTATACAAAACGATTCTAACACAGTTCTTCAATTTGAACCTACATGCTGTAGTGTAGGTTTTTTTGCAAGATCATAATAGAGAGGAACCCACAAGCATATATCACAATAAAAATCTGTTTGCATAGCAGCATCTCATAGTGCACCTCAAATGTTGCACATCAAAGTTGGTGAGTTCATTAAAATACTTTCAATTCCATAAAGATTTCAGTAGCTAGGTTGGCAGCTGTCAGGTTGGGTACATCTTTTACAGGATTGAATATATTGTTTTAATTCTGAAGTGCCCCACTATATGATACATATATTTGTGTCAGTGCAATTTTTTAAATGCCTGAATAATTGCAAGGGAGTGTTTGAAAGTTTAGTGGACGAACAAACCAAATAACAAATATTGTGCTGTCTGCAAATATAAGGGATGAAGAAAATTAGTGTATATTGTTGCCATGAAATTTGGCAACATCAAGAATACCACAGTAATATTTTGCACATGTACGGCAGCTGTTGATCCTAAGCAGTTAATAAGAAAAAATATGCTACAAACAAACAGGAAATTGTTTTTACTGTACCTCATCTTCGCTGCATCCCTGGCAATTCTTGGGAGCAAACAAGAAGTCACCGGTGGCAAGCTCAAAGGCTATGCAAGCAAACGACCACATGTCAGCGGAATACGAGTACCCAGGACCAATGATAACCTCGGGAGCTCTGTACTGCCTTGTCTGTATTTCACCAACAAGCTGCTGATCGGTCCAGCAGGCATTCCCGAAGTCGACAATCTTACACTTCAAGCTGATCCCATCCAGGCACCTCTCTTTCTCTAATTCTGCCCCAACCCCACCAAGGGACACCCGTCTCTGCGAAATCTTAGCCACTGCACGTCTTGCTCTCATCTTAAGCATCTTCTCACTGAAACTGATCACTGTACCACCATACTGGTTCCCCACAGGTCGATCAAGGATCGGTGTGAACCCAGAGTGCACTGGGTCCTTGGCCGGGTTAATTGTTGAGTCCAGAAGAACATTCTCTGGTTTCAAATCCATGTGGATGATGCCGAGCTCGCTGTGCAGGTAGTCAAGGCCGACCAGGACTGATCGGCAGATTTCCTTCACTCTGCTCAGCCCAATGCCCTTATTCCGATTGTACCGTATCAACCGGAGCAGGCTGTCACCGAGGAATTCGGTGACCAGGCAAACGTGCTTCCCATTGGGGCCAGCGTGCTTGAAATGGTCCAACAACCGCAGCACGCCCTTGGAATTCGTCGGGTCTCCTTTGGCTACAGCCGACAGCAGCTCAATTTCGTGGAGAGCCACGTGCGCGTAATCCCTCGCGCTCTTCTGGATCTTCAGAGCGACAAATCTCTGCAAAATTTGTAGTCGCAACGTATCAATTACTACAATCTTTGGACATGTCACATGTCGGAATTGAACATGGGCATCAGTAACCGATGTGATGGAAAACTACAGTCACATAGAAGAGAGATAACGAAGTTGGTCACAAATCTGAATTGAACATGGGCATCAGTAATCGATGCGATGGAAAACTTCTTTGGATCAAAAGCACCATTGTTCCCTTGAATACGTGTTCATACATGATACATGCTCGCAGAGTCTTGTCGCGAGCACAAATTAAACACAATATATATAAGCAATAAAACAGGGCTGAACAGATAAAGCTGCAGTGTTGTGGATTCACATAACAGGAACCTTCCAAACAACGACGCCCACCGAACTCTCCATAATCCCCAAAGGCACCGGGCCAACCGAGCAAGTGCACAAGGTTGCATAAAGAACACGCAAATGGTAAAAGAAATCATTGTCTATCAACCAAGAACGAGAGCGATGTAAAGAAAAAGAATAAGGGGCGCGCGCTGGCGTACGCTGTGGAGGGTGTCGTAGGCTAGCCAGACAGTGGAGAAGTTGCCCCAGCAGATCTTCCGCTGCGCGACGAACCTCCCACCGGCGAAGCGATCCCCGGGGCGGGCGGCGTGGTACCCGCCCTTCCGGTACCCCTCCGTGCCCTCGTCCTCGTCCTCCCCCTCCGACCCCGAGGAGTAGCTGTAGCCGCCGTTGCCGAACAGCGACGCCATGTCGCCATCGACCGAGACGAGAGACGGACCCAATCACCCACCGCACCGGGCTGCTGTCTCCTCCACCTCCGGCGGATTCGAATTCGTGCGGGGAGAAGACAGGCTGGGCCTCCGCTTTATAAACGTGGGGCGTGCCTCTAGCAATTTGCACGCGCTCGTGGTCGGGCAGGGCCGGAGAAGGGAGAAGGGAGAAGGGAGAAGGGAGAAGTGACCATTCCGCCACCACCGGGAAAGGAAAGGCCCCTGCTGCTTAGGCCCCCTTCACTTCGCGGAAAAAAAAAACCGAAACACGGTGCTAATTGCTTTCTCCGCCTTTCCCGTGCGTGGCTGTGGATCGCGTTTGAATCGCTATCTCGCTGAAGGATGGGGCCGGATCTACGTGGGGGCAACATGTCAGTTGGTGATGGGTTGCCTTCGGCAAGGTATCTGGTGGGTTGATGGGCTGTGGTTTTGGGATGGCTGGTTGGATGGTGATGGGCCGGTGGCGCTGGGAGCAGTTGACGACACGGCATTTGTTGCCGCCGCCGGTCAATGGTGCATAGGCCGGCACGTGTGCGCATGACAGTGCACGCGCTCCGTGAGCGAATTTTTTTAAGCCCTTTTTGAATTTTTTTCACAAATAAGCTCTTGGAGGTTAGATTTTAAAATCTGAACCCTTAGCTCGACGCCATCGTTGCTGACGTCGATCTCTTGATCTTTACGGTGACGTGGCACTGATTTAACAGGCAGCTCTTGGACACGGGAGTACAGGACACATGGTTGCACGACAGACCTATGACACGGAGGTATAAGTTCGGCGCCAGCAACGATGGCGCCGAGCTAAAAGTCCAGATTTTGAAATCTTGCATTCAAGAGCATATTTATAAAAAAATTTCAAAAAATAAGCTAAAAAATAAAAAAATGGCGCTCCGTGACCTGGTGTGGTGGTGGTAGCTTTAAGAACCTGTACATGGAACAGGTAGACGGCACAGGTAATTTCGATGATAAACGTAGCTATCGGTGTAAATAAATGTAAAGGTGCCACTTGTACGTTGTGTCAAGAAACAGCTCATATGAGGATGGCAGGGTCGGGTTTATCGGTTTGTCTCGTACCCAAAACCGAAACCCAAAATCGAAACTCAGAATCCGCCCAGAAAACCGATTCGGTGGAAATCCATCACCAAAACTGACCCATGGATACCCGAAAACGAATCGGATACCCGAAACCGAATGGATACGAAACCAGCGTATATATATACACATATTCACATGTATAAACAAGAGGCAACAAATAATAAATATTTTTATGAGTCAACTTTAAATAAATTTAATAATCTAAGTAAACAAATTATTATTAGTATATTATAAAACATGAGTTTTAATTCCAAATGATTTATTTCGGATATCCATTGGATATCCACGGGTGGAAAATCAAACCCGAAACCGAACCCGATTGGTTTCGGGGCCCCGAACCCGAAAACCGTGGGTGAAAAACCATCCCCAAACCCGAACCAGAACCCGAAACCCGCGGATATCCACCCCAAACCCGATCCGTTGCCATCCTTAAGCTCATACAGCCGCACAGGGTTTATGGTTTGTGTACTTCACGGTCGGGATTTAACTGTTTGGCTGACGTACATAACGAGCCACGGCTCGCCTAAGGGCCTTAGTTCCCTTCAAAACCCAAAAATTTTTTACGCAGTAACTATCACATCGAATCTTGCGGCATATGCATGGAGTACTAAATGTAGACAAAAAAAAATTAATTACACAGTTGGGTGAGAAATCGTGAGACAAAACTTTCAAACCTAATTAGTCCATAATTAGACACTAATTACTAAATACAAACGAAAGTGCTACAGTACCCAAAACCCAAAATTTTTTTGCAACTAAACGGGGCCTAAGCTGTGGCATATTATGGCGCTCAAAATGTGCACCAAACATTTGGCGAGGGTGACCACCCAGAACAACTAGTATAATGCTCGTGCTAACGTAACAGTAGTATATAACCATGTAAATTAAATAACCAAAAGCCATATATGTGAAGTCATTAAGCATCACTAAGATATATTTATGATTCATGAGTTATATTTATGATTCATGCAAAAAATAAATATTAAAAAAGAAGTCCATCTTACCCTATCAAAATATGAATAATAACATTTTTCAACATTAGTGGTCACATCTATAACCAAGCATGTCTTCAAGCTCCCCTACATTCAGAAGTCGTTCATTCGTCCTCAGAGCTGCCTCGTCTGTTTAGCCACAATACACTTTAAGAAAAGGTGGTGAATAGTTTATTCTACGAAATGAGATAGGGAAACTGTTGAATCGCCGCTAACTTAAATGACCAAACTTCCATTCACCAAACCTTAAGTATTTTAGATAACATTGCACATAGTCTAAAGCCACATGCTATTACCTGCACACCAAAGTGCAAATATCAAACAACAGGAAAATACAGAGGATCGGTATTGAAATATCGAGTTATGGGGAAAGGACTCAACATTATTATTTTTAACCCACTAACATTCATCCCATCTATTAAGCAGGTTCTTTTTGTCAGTGAAAGGAGGTAAGAGGCCCCATGTTTCGCTGTGCGCATGTGGCAAAAACAAAAAAGAAAGAAGAGCAAGAGTAGGATTGTAGAGTAGTAGATCGCTGTCGCTCTCGTCCCATCCAGCCCATCCAGAAGCTGAGAAGCACGCAGCTGGTGCTCATCGTTTGTCCTGAACTCTGATTCGTCCCATTTCAGAATTTAGAGGCAGAGCTCGTGACTTCACTTCACTGCACCTGGATGTTGACGACCTTGCCCCCTGCTGTCAGCTTGGGTATGGTGAGGTAGAGCACGCCGTCCCTCACCTCCGCGCCGATCTTATCCATGTCCACGTTCTCGGGCAGCTCCACCTACGTCCTGTACTGGCCGAAGCTTGCCGCCGGCCACGCCTCCTCCTCGTCTCCCTCTTCGTACCCGCCGCCTGCTGCTGCTTCCTACTTCTCGTCACCACCAGCACAGGCCAAAGCTTCGTTTTGATAGAAATGCTCCGGCCAACTATTACACCAATATTAACAGTGATGTAAAATCATCTCAGTTTTCAAGCATTGTTTTTGGGAGTCCCTACAATCTGGTACACAAAGAGCATTCAAAAGGGGAGAAAAAACAGGAGTCAAAAACTGAAAAGAACAGGTTTTAAATTTGCTGACCAGTGAGTAAGGTAGTGCTGAACCCCATTTAGATGGCTTCAGCTTCAACTTTGGAGGCAGGATAAGAAAACAGCTTGGTAGCATTCGTATAACTCAGCTCGCCAATTCTGACTCTAATAGTTCAAGGAGTGATGCGACGTACTTAAAAACCTGGAAAATAAGGGACCTCCACAGTTTGAAGTATTTTCTCATCCCATTATTGCTTAATATTAAGTAAACATGCCTCTTTTGTTAAGATGGAAAGCTCAATGCTCTTGCACTGGATTGCTTCACAATTTAAACAAAAGGACATAAGTATTATTAATATACAATTTTGCTCTTCAAATTACAAACAGGAAGGAGAGCAAGCATATTTTGTTGTATATTTTTTTCTTTCGGTTCTTGCTTTTGCCTCCAAGACTACTTTATTACTGAAAAAGGCACATGAACACATAAAACGAAAGAGTCAGGAAAAAAAGCTTCTCCAAAGAAATTCTAGCCAAGTGCATCCACGAAAAAAAATCTTACAATATGGATGTGCTACATTTAATATCGTTCATCTACTACGTCTCGGCTATGCTAACAAATGAAATATGAAATAGGTAGTGTCAACTTAGCTTTATATTGTCAACTCTTAGCTTTATATTGTCAACTCCTGCAGCCAAGCCAAGCAACAGGATGTCAAATAGCTTCGGTTAATCAAACTGTTGTATCATGCGTGCATAGGTAGTGTCTGAATTCAATTTGCACCACCGCAGCAGCAATTCAATCAGCTTTGCAGGATATAGTGCTTAGTAGTATTAATTATGCTGGGGTACAATTTTGAAGGGAATAATTCCATAAGTCACAGTGAAAATCCAGCGATGTCGATTCTGATCCCCAAATGTTTCACTTCCCAATGCTTGTGGAGAAATAATTGCAACATATATTATATAAGAACACTTCATATTAGAGATAGTTTGAACCTTTTTCCCCTTTGCCTTTTTCCTATTTTATGAAAGTCCTTGTAGCACCATGTGCGCTTGAACTTCATCAACCTATTGAGAAATATCGAACGTTCACGGAGATGAGGCACCTTATGGTTATATCATTTTCTATTACTATAGGTAAAAACACTTACTCTTATCAAGGAAAAACATAGCCATGATGATTATTTTCAAAGAAAATCGAAACTATATTAATCGATACTTGCTCTTACTCATTTGTGCACGATTGTCGTCCTCGAGCCGCCTGTGCTTGGCGAGATGGTGCACAAAGGCGTGCTACTGCCACGCTAGCAAGCAAGCCACGGTCGGAGATCCGTTGCGACTCTACGCTCGTCGCTCCTCGCTCGGCCATGCGGCGCGCCAGCACAACCATCGGTGGCCTCCCTCCACACGGTTGTCCGGTGAGCCGCCAAACCAAGATCTCGCACACTTGGCACTCCGGAGTCCGGTCAACGCCTTCCCGCACACCATCGTCTCACCTAAGTCGGTCACCGCTTTCGTTCGCTAGGGTTTGGCAATTTGGGATTGGGAGAAACAAAAGTCGGGAAGAGAGAAAAATGGCGGGGTGATTTCCGATTCGGACGCTGTGTCCTGCTCCGCCTCGCCGCGTGCCCATGGAGGGAGTGTGGATCTCCGACATCTCACGCAGGCGAGTGGATCTGGGCCGCCCGACTGCCGCCGCAGTGCTACCGCCACCACCGCCGCCCACGGAGCACGGGTCCCGACCACTGCAATGCTTCCACGCCACAGCCACGACCGCCCGCCTTGCCCACCCCCTTAACGCCGCCGCTGCTTCTGCCTGCAGAGGCAGCAAGCGCCGCAGGCTGCCACGCCAAGCCTTGAAGCGCGTGC